TTTCCCTTCCCTTCCACATCTGTCTGTCTTCCTTCCTTCCTTCTTTCCTTCCTTCCTTCTTTCCTTCCTTCCTTCTTTCCTTCCTTCCTTCTTTCCTCTTTCTTAAATAGATAGCTTTTGTCTTAAACCTTCCCTTCCACATCTGTCTTTCTTTCTTTCTTTCTTTCTTTCTTTCTTTCTTTCTTTCTTTCCTTCCTTCTTTCTTCCTTCTTTCCTTTCACTTTCCTTCTTGCTTTCTTTTCCCTTCTTCTTTCCTTTCCTCTTTCTTTCCTTCCTTCCTTCCTTTGTTTCTCTCCCTCCCTCCCTCCCTTCTTACCTAGAGCAGAGTTCTAATACGTAAGCAGAAAAATTCTCCCCCACCGCTGCGCCCACTTCTACTGATAAAGGAGTCAGAACACAGTGTGAGAACAAACAAAATTAAATCCCACTCAAAAATCAAAAGCAGCATGAAGAGAAGGGTGACCCAACAAAACTTGCCTTGGTGCTAAATAGAGAGGCATTTTTTGTGTGTTTTTGAAAGGGTGCCATCAGGGGTCACTCTGGTTTTTAAAAAAAATCTCCTTTATTTGGGCAGCTGATTTCATGGTATTTTGGCGTGCAATGCCTTGGAGTTATTTAAACGATTCTACGGAGGTTTGTGTTGCCCCCGGCTGTTTACATTTTACAGCTGCCTTTGACCTGTGGAACCCCCCCCCCAAATTTTAAGGGTTTCTTTTTAATTTTCCCGCATACCTGAATGAGAGGATTTCGAAATTTTTGTAACCGTATTCGCATGTTTTACATTTGTACACGTTGTTATACTGTGGAAAGAAAAAGGGGAAAAAAAGGAAGGAAGAAGACAGGATGGAAAGAAAGAAAGAGAAGGAGGGAGGGAGGAAGAGGGAAGGGGAAAGAAAGAAAGAAAGAGAAAGCAAGACAGGAAAGGAAGGAAGGAAGGGATGGATGGAGAAGGGAGAAAGAAAGAAAAGAAAGAATGAGAAAGAGGGAGGGAGAAAGGAAGGAAGAGGGAAAGAAAGAATGAAAGGAAGGAAGCAAAGTAAGGAAGGGATGAAGGGAGAGGGAAGAAAGAAAGGAAGGAAAGAGGGTGGAAGGGATGGAGGAAGAGGGAACAGGAAAGAAAGGAAGGGAGAGAAAGGAAGGGAGGGAGGGAGAGGGGAGAAAGAAAGGAAAGAAAGAAAGAAAAAGAAGGAGGGAGGAAGGAAGAGGGAAGGGGAAAGAAAGGGAAAGAAAGAAAAGGAAAGAAAGAAAGAAAGAGAAAGAAAGAAGGGAAGGAAGGAAGGAGTTGGGTTAGAAACAGACATACTATCTTGGCATTCAAAATATAACTGCTTTCTTAATTTCCCACCATTGTTAAATGATGATTTAGAGAGTTTCTTGGCAACTTTTTAAACTTTGTGGCCCTCAATTCTCTGAATTGAATGCAGAATAGGTTGTGTGTTGAAATCCACACACCTCTTCATACTGCCAACTTTGGGAGACCCCAATTTAGAAATATTTCTTTCCCCTCCTTCCCCTCCCTTGGGACGATACCCCAAAGCGGAGCCTTGATCCGGTGACAGGCACAGGTGGAAAATGTGTGATTTCGTACACATTTTTTTTTGCAAATCTGAGAGTACCAATATTTACCTTCCGTACAAAGGGGTTCATGCATTTAGTTTTGCTGAAAAACTTCTGTCTGTCTGCCTATATTTTAACCCTGGGCAACTTTTAACTCCCAGAATTCGCCATCGGCCATCGTTTAAAATCAGAGCCCTTCCTCTCCCCCCCCCCCATCAGAAAAGACACCACCGTCTTTAGAGACAGAGGAACGAGAGTTGGAAGGGACCTTGAAGGTCATCTAGTCCAACCCCTCATCTAGTCTCCAAGCAGGAGACCGCCCCCCCCCCTACATCTGCCCCTACCTAGGATCGAACTCACAACCTCGTCGGATTTTGCACAGGTTAAAGTAGGATTCTTCCCAAACCTGGCACCAGTTTTGAAGACTTCAACTTCCCAGAATTCCATTTAGAACGAGGGTGGGTGGGTGGAGCCCGGCTGGGGAATTCTGGGAGTTGAAGTCCGCCCATCTGAAAAGTTTGCCAAGTGTTAAACTTATAGGCAGATTTATTTATTTATTTATTTATTTAAAAAAAACACGATTTCTCTTTTTTCAGCCGGACGAAATTCTAGAACATCCTGAACAGTCTCACTTAGCGTCTCCCAAAGTTGGCCGTTGTTGTGTTTTCCCCATTTTTTTTGGGGGGGGGATGACATAATTTCAAATGAACTTTTAGAGGAAGGGTGGGCTTCCCATAGCTGGATTTAAAATCCACCACATCCTGGCTGGCCACAAGATAACCCTGCCTTCCAACTCCCCCCCAAATGTCACTGTGTAGAAATAGTCCAATTGACAGTAGAGATTTCAACCTGCCATGCAATACTCACCATT